TGCAGACAATTGCGCCGCAGCTTCATCGCGATGAACATTCGGTGTGGCCTTCCAGCTCCCCTGCGCTACCGATCGGCTCGACATTCGCACTGGACGGCCAGCCTCGGGCACGTCGTAGCTCCGTAGATGCTACCCACTCATCACCGCCGGACCTGGCCTCGTCCGATATCGACATGACGATGGAGCTCGTGCACTTGACTCTAATGAAGAGCCCAACATGGGTGAATGCATCTGATGCGAATCAATGCTCCCTCTTGCATTGGGTCGCGCAGCGGGGGGCGGCACCCCTCGTCCAGCTTCTGATCGACCACGGGGCGGCCATTGACGCGATTGACCACAACGGGCTGTCACCAGTGCACTGGGCTGCCGCCGCCAACAACGTGGCCGTGCTGCGAGCGTTCGTACAGGCGCATCGAGAGGTTTTGAACGCCCCCGACGCGCGCAAGCTGCGCACGCCGTTGATTTTCGCAGCCCAGCACGGTCACATCGCGGCGGTATCTCTTGCCGAATCGTTGTCCTGCCAACAATGTTATTGAATCGTAGGCAGTGTATTTGCTCCGGCTTGGTGCCGACGCTGCACTTCTTGACAAAGCGGGGGTAGGCTCCATCGACACGAGCGCCCAAGTCTGATGCACTACGGCCTAGGACTCTATGGTACACTGGGCAGCGTACAAGGGCAACGTCGAGCTCCTCCGCCTGTGCTACGCCTACGCTGACACCCTTGGCCTCGACACGGCGCTTTTTCACATGGCCGATTCGTGCAGGCAGACGCCGCTGCACCTTGCGGCACTTTGCGGGTGCGATTTCGAGCGCCTCATGGCTGGCGCTTCATCGCTGATGGATATTGTAGCCATGCACAAGTGATCGCTTTCCTCGTTGACGACGTCCATGTGCAGATGGAACGTGAGGACGTGAACGGCCAGACACCGCTCATGCTCGCGCGCTCCAAGGGACACTTGGTTGCTGCAGCGATCCTCCAGGCCCGGCTACGACGCAACGTCATCCGCTCTGTGCGGCATGTCCTTCGAGCCTTCTGCCCTCGATTCTTTACGCGCGTGCCACTGTATTTCCAAGCGGGGAATCTGGTCCTCGTACCGTGCTGGTACGGCGGCGTGTTTTGGCACTGGAATGCACTGAGAGGCACCATGACGTGGCACTCTGTGCTGCTTGCATTCACGTGGTTTTTCTTTGGATGTGCGGCATGGCTCGATCCAGGCACCGTGGCGCACGACCACCACTGCGCCGAGCGGTACGCGACCACCATGCACCATCTCATGAGCCCAGACTTTGCTGGCGACTGCAACAACGCCCCAAGAAACGACGACGCTGCGCTGGACGCGACGCTGCGCCGCTTCTGTCATACCTGCCATGTCGATCAACCACCCCGAGCCAAGCACTGCAATGCATGCAACAAGTGCGTGGCAGTGTTCGACCACCAGTACGTTCGAAACACAACGGCGACTCGTTTGCTGATGCCTGGTGTAGCTGCCCTCTTCTGGGCACCTGCGTTGGCCGCAACAACTACACGTTCTTCCTGGCCTTCACGGCGTGCATGGGGATTGCATCATTGTGGTTGGCGTGGATGTGGCACACTCTTTGGACGCACTTGGATCGTCGCGCGACTGCGTGGTGCATCGTTGCTGTCATTTACTACACGCTCATCGGTCTGTGGGCGATGGGGTTACTGGCATTCCACCTGGTCTTGGCCGCCAACAACCACACAACGTACTCGTTCCGACAGCACGGCGACATGCAAGGCCACCGCGAGTCCTGGCGACAAAACTGCATCGACCGGCTGTGCGTAAGCGTGCATCACTATTGCGATCATGTGGCGCGGGACCGGCGCCAGTCGACCCACGATGGCAAGGTCCGGCATCGCCATGCGGGGTAGCAATTGAATGTCTGTTGAACGTGTTGCCAAATGGATGCTTACACTATTTACAACCAACCCCGACACAATCGCCGTCTCCTTGTGGCACACTCCTTCCTCCTCGTACGAAAGGGTGCTCGCACGTTGCCTCCACTGCTTCTTCGCTAGAAGCGTCCCGTCAAAGGTGCGATCGATGCCTGCCGCCAACGACTCGACCAACGTGGTCGTGTGCGAGGAGGGGATGCGCATGCAAATAGTGTGAATGAGTCATTGGGTTGAACATGTAAATAGTGTGAATGAGTCATTCGTGCTGCCGAGAACACAGCTGGGTATTCAATTTCGACGGGTTCCATACAAATATCAAGTTGGAAATTGTTTGCAATTTAAAACGTGCGAGAGTCGACTCTACCGCATCCGGATCCATATCCGGATACTCCATACAAGACGGCGAACACCACTGCCATTGCACATCGTGGTTCTACCCAAGCAAGTCGACCACCTTCGTCATGCGCCCCTTCTTCCGCCACGCCACTGTCGCCACCCGCGCATCCAAGACGATGACGACTCGTTCGTTCTCAGCGTCATGGGACAAGCCGTTCCCGTCCATATTGGTATGAGCGCATATGACTCTGTCGTCTGGGATGGGTTCCCAACGCCTTGGTGGATAGATCACAAAGGACGGCATCACCGCGCAAGGCTCGTTTGCAGAATCTCAAGCCAAGTACTTGACGCCTGATTTGGCCGCGGTCGGGGAGCTGGACGCCTTGCTTGCCAAGAAGCAGCTCGGCATCGTCGCACACTTTTACATGGACCCTGAACTCCAAGTACGTCGAGTGCCTTTCATGATGTGTCTCCATGGTGCCCACTGACACTCGTCGACGCATAGGGTGTCTTGAGCAAGTTGAAGTGGCCGCACACGTTGATTGCAGACTCGCTCGCGATGGGCGAAGCCGCCGCCAAGATGGCGAAGAACGGCGCCAAGGCGATTGCATGTCTGGGCGTCGACTTCATGTCGGAAAGCGTCCGTGCCAACTTGGATTCGAACGGGTACCACAACATCCCCGTGTACCGGTTGTCGAAGAAGAAGATTGGGTGCAGTTTGGCCGAGTCGGCCGAGAAGCAAGCGTACCTGGCGTACTTGGCCCATGCGGCAAAGACCCCCCACAGCCTCCACGTTGTGTACATCAACACGTCGCTCAAGAGCAAGGCATGGGCGCACAACATGATCCCGACGATCACGTGCACGTCGTCGAATGTGGTGCAAACGATCTTGCAAGCGGCGGCGCAGGTGCCGGACATTTCCATCTTTTACGGCCCCGACACGTACATGGGCGAGAACCTCGAGCAAATGTTTCATCACATGGCCACGATGCCGGACGAACAGATCCGTGAAATTCATCCTGCTCACACCCAAGCCACGTACGCCGTCCTGGAGGATCTCGTGGGTGAGCCATGCTGTGTGTAGGATCAAGTCGCTCCTGACCCGCTTCGACTATTTCAAGGAAGGCAACTGCGTCGTCCATCACATGTTTGGCGACAAGGTGACCAAGCGCGTCCGCGACGAGTACGCGGACGTGTACATGACTGCCCACTTTGAAGTCCCTGGCGAGATGTTTACGCTTGCGATGGAAGCGCAGGCGCGAGGCCGCGGCGTGGTCGGGTCGACTTCGAACATCCTCAACTTTATCAAGGCCAAGACGGCGGAAGCGCTAAAGGCCGGGTCGAACGAGCGCCTTCGTTTCATTCTTGGGACCGAGGTACGTCGACGCGCGGCGTGGATGGCGCTGACTGCCACGACTCAGGCCGGCATGATCACGTCGATCGCGACCAGTGTCCAGGCCGCGCTGGCCGACGGCAAGTCGGCTGCGACAACCCCGCAAGTCGAGATCATCTTTCCCGTGGCCGCCGATGCCGTTGCGACCGAAGGCGACAACTTGGTCCCTGGCGTCCAGGGGGGCGAAGGATGTTCGTCTGCCGGCGGGTGCGCCACGTGCCCTTTCATGAAGATGAACGACCTGGACGCGCTGTTTGACGTTGCGGAAGGCATTGACTTAACCAAGGTGCGGGTCATGTTCGCCCTCGCTCTAGACTGATCGATGCGTCCAGGATCCCGACCCGTTGGCGGCGCACCACCCGCAGACGTACAGCGAGCGCATCCACACCAAGAGCATCTCCGCGATCGGCGTCGTGCCCATCCTGCACATGCGGTCGTTCATGGAGCACGGGAAGCTGTCCGAGGCACTCGTCGAGGACGTCGCGACCCGCGCCCCCGCCGCCGGGTGCCCCGAGGCCCGTTGAGCCCGATAGCATGTTAACGACGATGAAACGGTTAGACCAAAAAAATGCCTTGTCGAGTTGCCGTTTCATGTTGAAACCGATCGTGAACGGTCGGCACCACTTTGTACAGCGCCGCGTGGGGCATGGCGGACGAGTCCGCGTCTGGCGATGCCACGTACGTTTGCTAGAGTGTTTCTCCGCCGGCGAGTGTGGCGCTCACCCTGGACGTCGATGTAGACCTCGCATGGCCCTGCCCAAGTCGACCGCACCGACAGGAGAGGTACGCCTCCCAGCCACTCGACAGACGGGTCATGGACATGGGTGCTGCAGGAAGGCGCCCCGAAGAAGAAGAAGGCGCCACCACCGCCATCCGGCGCCCCACCAAAATCCGCGGCGGCGGCGCTGCGGGCAAAGGCCGGCCCGCCGTCGAGTCCACCCCCCAAAGGAGTCAATGCGGCGGTGCAGAAGATCCGAGCTGGCAGTGCTGGAGAAACCAAAGCCGGAGACGAGAATGCACCGCCCAAGCCCAAGAAGAAGGTGCCACCGCCATCCGCGGCCGCACCAAGCACGCCACGGACCAACAACGACGTGCGTGGGTCAGAAGAAAAAGACCAACTCATGAGCGCTCGTCCGCCTAGTGCGGACTCGAGTGGAGGCGTGCCGTCGACCGCGCCGCCGAAACCCAAGAAGAAACCTCCGCCAAAGGACGTTCTGAACGACATGGCGATGCCTCCACGCGCCGTCGAAGCCAAAGACCCGCTTGCTCAAGCTGCGGTCGACAATCGAAGCAATGTTCAACACATTGTCGCGTCGGAGAAGAAAGCGATCTTGGAAACCATCCAAGGCAAACCACGCAAGACGACGACCGAGCTGCTCCAGGAAGACGCAGCGTTCAAGCGGAACACCACGGCGATGACGGACGAAGGTCCATCCTCGTCGCTAAAGGCCATGTACTCGAGCGTGAGCTCCAACACGGCGGGAAAAGCAGCGCCGCAGTCCATGACGATGCGGCGCGAACACGCCGAAGAAGAGTTGACCGTGCGCAAAGCTGTCGTAGTCAAGAAAAACGTCGCCGATGCCAAAGCTGCAGCCGCCTTGTCCCACGACGACCTGGACGACTCGATGGACGACATCGAAGATATCCCGATCTTGGAAACGATGGCGGCCGACGCAAAGGGCGACGACGACCCGGAAATCGTCATGGAGAAAGCACCATGCGACGATAAAGTCGGGGCGAAACATGGTATCGATGACGACGACCGCAGCGACGCTGTCCTTGACAACAACAGCCACAACGCCCCGATTCCCGCAACAAAAGCCGCGTTGGCGGATGCGCTGTACCACGAGATGAAGCAGCTGGAAACACTGGGCAAGGCGACAGTCACCACGTCTGCATCGAATGCGAATGACGGCGACAACGACGGAAAGGAGGCCAAACAACCGCAGCACGAACCTTCTGACAGCGGCGACGCCAAGGACGAGGCCAAACCGCTAGAGCCGAAGAAGCGGTCCAAGAAATCCAAACAGCACGCCGAGGACAAGAAAAAGTCGTTTGAGGTGCGGCTGGCGACCACGAGCGATGCTCATCGAGTCTGTATAGTACTTCAATCCCAAGCGCGTGCCGTACGTCCCAAACCAGCTCCTCAATTTCATCACGAAGCCGCTCGAGGTCGGCCGCGGCCACATTGTGCGATGCTTCATCGAGCGCAATCGAAGCGGGCAAAACAAGGTGATGTGGGATGCGGTCGTGGGTTCATGACGGGGCATGGTGTAGCTGTCGCCGCTGTACTCGTTGATGCTCGAGGTGAGCAGCGCCACGGGCCGCCCGCTGATGTACGCGCGGAAGAAGCCCACGTCGCGCATTTCGTCGCATTACATCTTTAGCCTGAACAAGTAGGGTCCATGGGGCCACGTCCTGCGCCTCACACTGTCCGTCTGCGCGCGGCGGATCTAGGGACGACCTCTTCTTGTCCAGGTCGTTGCGAAGCAAGCAGTTTGTCGGCAAGCTCCGCAGCGACACGCGAAAGATGGAGTACACGTTGTTTGATCAAGGCGACAACCCCGAAGATATCGACTCGGATTGTGAAATCGACGACGAAGTTCGCCAGCACATTCGCGCGCAAATGGCGACCATCCGATACCACCCCACGAAGAAGGAATTCCTGCGCAAGATGGAAGTGATCGTACCGGCAATCGTCGAGCACGAGTCGGGGGACGAAACCACGCTGTCGTACTTGGACTGGCGCCCGATTTCGAAAGACCAGACGCTGGAAGCGCTGTTCACGGAGGTTGCCGAGCAGGTACACCATGGAACCCGTTGCCGTGCGGGTGGTACAGTCCCCATGACCATAGGGCGGTCAAAACGTGCTCGAACGAGACAAGTTTACGTGCTTGCACAAGCGGGAATCGCAGTACGACCCGCTGAGTTCGTGCATTGTCGACTTTCGAAGCCGGGCGACGAGCACCTCGATCAAGAACTTTCAGCTCGTGCATTCGCAACCGACGGACCAGGAAAAGTATCGACAGGTGCGCGCGTGACTTGCAGTCGGCTTGACCGTGACGGCGTCGCGATAGGCGTACATCCAAGCACATCCGACGTACCATTACGACGACGAGAGCACGGTGAGCGTCCCACAGGAGCATATCATCCTGCAGATGGGCCGCGTCGGCATGAACTGCTTCAACATGGACTTCCAGTACCCGCTGTCCATGCTGCAAGCGTTTGCGATCTGCATCTCGCGCTTCGACACCAAGCAAAAGTGACCAGTTAACGAATGTCCATCATTCTGGAGTTTAAAACTACGTTGTCCGAAGTTGTGTGAGTTTAAAACTGCATTTTGAAGTACATGCATTCCGTGGCCGAAACCGCCAAATCTTTACATTCATTTTCGATTGCGCGGCGGGACACGACGACGATGAGCTCGACAGCGACCACACTGAAGGAACAGGGAAACGCTGCGTTTGAAGACAAGCGCTTCGACGAAGCGGAAGCGTTCTACTCGAAAGCCATACTGCAAGAGCCCAAGCAGCATGTACGCACAGTGTTCATGTGGCCTGCATCGTGAGTGTCGTCGATGCGTAGACCTTGTACGGCAATCGATCGGCGGCGCGTTTCCATCAAAAGAAATATCAGGAAGCATTGAAAGATGCAGAGACTGCTGTCTCACTAGACCCGACGTGGGCAAAAGTACGCATGTGGCTTCCCCGCGAGATAGTCGTGCGAGATCGAACTTTCGTCAATCCGTTTAGGGTCACTTTCGGAAAGGCCAGGCGCATGAAGCTCTGCATCAGTTACGACTAGCGCAACACGCATACGAGTCGACGCTGCAACATGGCGGGAATAAGCGAGACGTCGTCGAGAAAGTTGCCGCCACGAAAAAGGCGGCGGATAAGGAAGACCGAGAGGTGCATTCCACGCTATTTCGAGCACAACGGATCGTCATGTATTATCCACCATAGCGCGTCATCCACAGTCGAGAGGACTGGAACGAAATTTACACCAACATCTCGGGTACGTCGGCCAGATTGCAACATCTCATGCTGTGACGAGCCGATGGCTGTTTTGCGCAGACAAGAAGCTTCGTCTTGCGATCTTGGTAAAGTTTTGGAATGCGTCGACAAAAGCTGAACGTTTTTCGTTCTTCATGCGGTTCCTCGCGATTCTTTCCGACGGAGGAACACGTACGCCGTCACGCATGGCTTCATTTCGACTCATCGCTGATGGGTAGCGTCCCGCATCGGCCGGTACTCTACTGAGCAAATGGAGCCGTTCCCTGCATCCAACTACGACACGATCGAGTTGCCCGGTACGATGGGTCGCACTCCATGCAGGACTCACCACGACGCTGCAGACACCTGGTCTACGTACTACGACTCGCTCGCGTTGGCTCAGAAAGGCGATATCATGCAGGACATGTATACCGCCGCGTCGGAAGCGGAGAAAACCACCATCATCAACGACATGAAGTATTTCATCCATCAACTGTACAAGGAAGACCCCGACGACGACGAATGAGTGCTTGTTTCGTCGGGATGCGTACCACACGGCATACACATGCATAATTCATACGAGTGCGGTGTGTTTCGCCTAAACATGGGCATCCAAACATCTTCCCTGGCAGCCCATCGTGCTCGACGGATCCCGTGATGGTGTCGGGGTTGATGGTAGTCCTCACGCCGCGCGACCTCGTCGTCGTCCAGGAAGGCTTGATTCAGCCCATTCTACCAAGGATCGCCGCTTTCGCACGCACATCGCACCCGACTGCGACAGCATGCCTCGACGGCAATGCCACATTGCACTCGTGTGAAATGTCCACTTCGTCACGGTGAATGTCGTATCCGGATGCTTCACTATCCGGATCCTCCACCACAGACACAGATTCGAAATTGTGTGGAGCTTTCATCATGGCGGAAGGGTCCGACAACGAGTCGTCGCACCGCGAGAAGGATCGCAAGAGCAGTCGGAAAGACCGCAGCGATCGAGACCGTAGTGACCGTGATCGCAGTGAAAAGAAGTCCAGCCGACGGGAGAGAAAGGACGACGACAAGGACCGAAAATCCTCCCGCCGTCGCTCGCGAAGTTATTCGCCGCGGTATCGGTCCTCCCGTCGGTCCCGTTCCCGCTCATACGAACGACGCGATAGCCGACGGGACAGTAGCCGTCGTAGCCGCCGGTCGAGTAGCCGATCGAACGATCGAAGCAGACGCTCGTCTCGCCGCAGTCGAAGCCGTAGCGACGAGCGACACCGCAGATCGCCGTCGGCCGAAGCCGCGAAACCAGCCGCCGTCGTGTCTGCGCCTGCAACGGATGATCTGAACGCTATCCCACCTGTGGACTCGGCACCTCCGTCGAACCAACCCACGATCACGCAGATGATGTTGCAATACCCGTCCTTGAGCATTCAAGAGATCATGGCCAAGATGTCACAGAGCCAAAGCACGATGTCGTCCGTCGTGTCTCTGAAGCCAATGCGCGAGCTGTACGTGGGAAACCTTCCCCCGAATGTCACGGCCACGCAACTGCAGGACTTTCTCGGCACGATCATCCAGCAAGTCGGATTGGCGCTCCAAGGTCAGCCCGGCAACCCGATCTTGAGTACGTGGATCTCTACCGACGGCATGTACGCGTTCTGCGAGATGCGCACGGTCGAAGAATGCAACTTGGCGCTCATGCTGAACCAACTGAACCTACTCGGGCGACAACTCAAATTTGGACGTCCTCGATCGTTTGTTGGCCCGCCGCAGCCCATGCCAGTCGTATCCAACCGCACGCAAACGGCGCTGGTCAACCTCGGCTGCATTCCGAACCCAATGTGGTTTGCCGGGGGCTCCGCCGCATGCGGTCTCAAGGACCCCAACGCGATCCGCGACAGCCACGTGTATTTGGACCCAGCGCACATTCCTCCAGACAACACGTCGAACCGGCTGCTCATGGTCAACATCCCCACCGTCCTGACCGAAGACCAGGTACGTTCGTTTGTCCAGTCGTGCGGCTCACGCTCGGTAGGTTGTGCAACTTGTGGAGCCGTTTGGCAAGCTCGACGCATTCACCCTCGTCAAGAACGCCGAAGGAGTGTCTGTGGGTAGCGCCTTGTTTGAATACGAAGACAACAACGTGACGGAAGAAGCCATGAATGGCCTCAATGGCCTCGACTTGGGCGGCCACGTGCTGTCGGTGCAGCGTGCATCCAAGCAAGGTGTGCTGCCCAAGTACAAGCCAAAGGGGGAAGACAGCGCCAAAGCTACAGTCACCCCGACCCAAGTCATTGTGCTGGTATGGTGGTCGCTTCAATCGATGGGTAACGGATGGACGTGGCAGGGCAATATGGTGCAGCCCGCGGAACTCGAAGACGACGACGAGTTTGCCGACCTCAAGGAAGATATCGAGGAAGAGTGCAACAAATTTGGCAAAGTCGTGGCGCTCGAAGTCCCCCGGCCAAAGGTCCGCCTCTCCCGCTGGCTTGCGAAACACTGAATGTGTCCATGTAGACGGGCGAGACCATTTTGGGTGTTGGCAAGGTGTTTGTGCGGTTTGAATCGGTGGAAGGCGCCGAGAAGGCGACCAAGGTGCGATCGACGAACGAAGGAGACATGCTCATATGGGGGATGGTTCCGTAGGCCTTGACGGGCCGCAAATTTGGCGGCAACATTGTCCAAGTCGAGTACATGTCGCTGGCGAAATTTGAGACCCAAGACTTTGCCTAGACGCGCGTGGCGGCTCGCGCCAACGATCGGTCTTTTGTCTAACGTGCATAGTACATGCTTCTCTACCTCGTCGAGCTTCACGACCGACTTGTTCCATTCCACATAGGAATCGCATGCGACGTACCCGCGCTGCTGCCGTCGAGCGTTCGCGTGTGCGGCACGCTGACTCGTCGGTCACGCCGCCTGCCTTTCACGCCCCCGTCAGGCATGTGTGTGCGATATTGCACGAGACAAGTTTGTGTCGAAGGGTTTTGTCGTCCGAGGCATCGCCGCGTCGTCCCCGGGCTGCGCGTGCTCGTCGACCGCTTGCGACCGGAGCAAGTGGCAAGTTGCTTTGCAGCGGGGCGTTGTGGTCGGTCATTCGTGACAACGTCTGCCAAGTGGATTTCAAACGTTTCAAATTCCATGTCGTCATTTTAAAACTGTTGGACATTCATATAATGTATCTCTCCGACTCGGCACAGGACATGATTTAAAAATCGTTTTAAATACAACGCCCAACCCCCGTTCCATCGAACAACATGGTACGTCGCCGCCGCCACCGAGCGACGCATGACACACCCCGTCCGCATCGTTACGTCACGCGTGAGTCCCCCGGGATGGACCGCCGCTACATCCCAGACCCTTGCCGTCATCGCATTGGCACGGCGGCGTTGGTGGCTGTGCTCGCCGTTGGGTTTTCGATATTTGTACCGTGTACTGGCGATGCAACGATTGTCAGCATGTCGCCATTCTGCGAAACGCGTCCGGTCTTGCGTGCGTCCGATCGACGTGCGAGCCATGAATGGTAGCACACGACGGCGGCGCCACTCGGCGGTGACTCGGGGAGTCGACGCGCCCCGACCGCAGACGCACCAGTCGCAGCGCATCGTCGTGTGCGGGGGAGGGATCGTCGGCCTCACGTCGTGCTACTTTCTCGCGAAACAGGGCCACGAAGTGGTGTGCATTGAAAAGGAAGCGCACGTCGGAGACAGCGAGATGTTTCATGACCCGACGTTGTACAGCTCGTGGGCTGATGTGTCCCTCCTCTATCGCAAGCACATGACGACCAAGAAACCCGCGGACAAGCCGTTTGAAGTCGCCGCCGCCGCGTGGCTCGATCCGGCGTTCTGGGCATGGGGACTCAAGTACATGACGAGCGCGACGGCGCGAAAGGCCAAGGACAACGCGCGCAAGTGCCGCGAACTGTGCAACTACAGCGAACGGATGCTGGTCGAGTTGATGCGGAAGCATCCCGCCCTCGACGAACAAATGGAGAAAGTTGCCACAGGCACGTTGGAGCTGTTCGCGTCGGGGGCCGACAAGGATGACGCGTGGCAGGCCGATCGCATCAAGCAGTGCCTGCACGAGTTTCAGTATCCGCTCCATCCCGTCGACACGGAGGAAGCAGCCGCGATTGACCCGGCCATCTTGCCCGACGCGATGGCCGGCGGCGCCATCTTCTCGCCGCTGGGCACGAACGGCGACGTCCACCGCACGTGTGAAGCCATGGTCGGTCTGTGCAAGCAAGCGGGGGTCATGTTTCGCCTCAACACCGAGATTGAAGACTTGTTGGTGGTCGACAACCGAGTCGTCGCGATTCAAACCAAGATGCACGAGTTGATCGAAGGCGACTGCTTCGTCTTGGCCCTCGGCAACGACACACCCAAGATGGCCGGGCTCGCCGGCGTCAAGCTGTACATGTATCCTGTCAAGGTAGGTGGTCCTCGCTCCATGCCGGTCTCATGTTGCAGACAGGGGCATGTGATCACCATCGATCGAAACCAGCTCTTCCCGCCGCTCCGATGCAACGTCTTTTCCGCGAGCCACACCGGCACGGTCGTGTCGCCGTGCGTCGACGGGCGGATCCGCATCTGTGGCGGTGCCGAGTTTGCTGGCAAGGCCCACGGCGTGAAATCCGTCGAGACGAAGCGCGTCGCAAGACTCGTGAGCCAAGCCAAGATGCTCTTTCCCGACGGCTACCTGGACGAGTCCAACGTCCATGCCGACGTGTGCCTGCGGCCCGTGAGCGCCGACGACGTCCCGCTCATCGGGCAGACGACCGTCGACAACCTGTTTGTCAACTGCGGCCATGGAGCCAAGGGGTGGGCGCAATCGTTTGGCGCGGCCGCGCTGTTAGCCGACGATATCAGTGGCAAAATCCCGGCCATGAACATCGACCAGTACTCGCCGCACCGGTTTGGACTGCTCCGATGACGCCGCCGTCCACGAAACGCAAAGTTGTTGCGTTGGCCGCCGACACGTCTCCAGAACCACGTTCGCGCCACCTCGGCGGACTACCCGCCCCGCGATGGCGGGTCTCCCGCATGCCCCGACGACCCGCTCGCTCGTGCACCAGGTCGACTCATCTCCTCTTGACGCATCACAGCGAGCTCCGACAGCGCCAAGTTAAGTTAGTACAGCACACACCACACGCACACCGATCTCTCTCTCTCTCCTAAAACAACCCAAACCGGCACGGCGAGTACGCTTCAATGTTGATGTCGGGGGTCCGGCCGCTGATCTGGTCGGCCAAGATGGCCGCCGACCCAAACGATAAGCTCCATCCCTTGGACCCATGGCCCGAGTTGACAAACAGGTTGTCGACGGTCGTCTGCCCGATGAGCGGGACGTCGTCGGCGCTCACGGGCCGCAGGCACACGTGCGTTTCAACCTGGGACTCGTCCAGGTAGCCATCGGGAAACACCCCCTTGGCCTGCTTGAGGAGCCACTCGACGCGCTTTGGGTCGCTCTTGTAGTTGAACCCGGCAAAGTCGGCGCCGCCGCTGATGCGGATGCCGTCGCCGCGCAATGGCGACACGAGGGCATTGCCGCCGGCATAAATATTGCATTTCAGGGACGGGAACTGCGGATGGTGCGGCACGGTCAGGACATACCCCTGGCATGAAGCATGAGCGAGCACACAACACGGTCGCCGGCGGGTACCTTGACTGGATAGACATAGAGCTTGACGCCGGCCAGCTTGGCGACGGCGGCGGTATGGTTTCCCAGCGCCAGAACGAAGCTGTCGCCCTCGATGAGGTCCCCGTTGTCAACTTGAATCGCCACCGCGCGGTTGTCGACCACCAGGATGTCCTGGACCTCTGTGCTCATGCGAAACATGACTCCGTGCTGCTTGCACAGCACCGCGAGCGCATTGCACGTCTTGTGGACATCGCCTACAACACACGCCACTTTACGCGACGTCGCGCGCCAGGAGAATACCGTTGGTGCCGGTGGGTGAGAAAATAGCGCCAGGAGCAAAAACAGAGCGCTTCAATGCGGGCTCGATGTCGGCGGCTTCATCCGGGTCGAGCGGTTGCAGCGGGAAGTGCAACTCCTCGCAGTGCTTGATTCGGTCACTCTCGAGAACGTCATCTTTCTCTTCCTTGGTCTGAAATACCTCGAGCGTCCCTTGCGCCGTTGGCTCCATCTCGTCTTCGATCTCTGGGTGCATGCGCAGCAACTCCTGCAGCTTCCTTTGGCTATAGAACCCGAGCTCGCGGATCTTGCGGCCGTTCTCCTTGGCGCGCTTGCTCGTGGCGTTCGTCATGAACTTGAGCCCCCATGCCCAAAACGCAGGGTCAATCCAAGCCGCCGCTTCAACGCGGAAGCCCTTCTCCTTGCTGGCAGATTTCGCTTGGTGCATGTGCTTCTTGTACAACAACGACAAGTCGGCCCAGCTGCTGTACAAGGTCGAGTCGAAGAACGTCCCGTTCTTGTACGACGCCATCATGCCGACCCGCGATTCCCGCTCAATGCATACAACTTCATGACCTCGGCGCGCCAAGTAATAGCAGGTCGTGAGGCCAATGATGCCGCCTCCGCACACCACCACCCGATGCGGTTGGTTCGGGATCTGCGGTCCATGGACGCCGCGGGTGACAGCGGAGCCCCGATGAGTCCTTCCAGTCATCCAGAGGTCTCTGTTACTTCGTATCGTCTGTCGAGACAGCGAACGACGACGATGTGCTTCCTTCTCGCGCTTGAGCCGCGCCGAGGAATGTCCAGTCCCCAATAAGCCAGTCACCCGACCATCAATGGTGGAGAGAATACAAAACATAATTCAATCGAGATTAATCACGAGCCCGATTGCATCGAGTTTCAATGGACTCAAGTACACGACGTATAATTCGTATGCATGGATACGAAATAATGCAACATGTGCTTTACCATGCGGTCGTAGGAATCCCCCCCCACACATCGCGACCCCACAATTTGCGACTTGAATTGTGTATACGGATTTGAACCTGGCTGCAAGAAGATGTGTTCTCTCGCAACGGGAGTGTTTGAAACATGTTTCAAACGTGTTTGTTACCTGTGGACAAGTACAAAAAGTGCCAAAGCCGTCGCTGTGGTCGGTCAGGGCCGACTCAAGTTGGCGCGGCCATCGCCGACGCGACTCCGCCTTGGACAGGGAGCGATACCGCCACCGGACACACTTGGCTGACACGAGAAAGTGCATGGGAGAAGTGTTTAGAATCACACTGGATATGATGTAGTACGTCGTAGTGAATTCTCCGGATGTCACACTGTGGTGAGAAATTGCGATATTATCCGGACAAAAGATCGGGCGAGGCGGAACTGCGAGCATGTCGAGCAGCGGCCGCAGCAAGGAGCTCGCCAAGCTCTTGAGCAGCGGCAGCGATCCCTTTCAATCATGCGAAGGGTATAGCACAGATGTCATGCTGGATGAACTGTGTGGCCCCACATCCGACGGGGATGGTTCCACTAGCTTGGCCGACCTCGATGGCATCTTCAAGTCGGCGATCGAGACACTCCAAGCCCATCGGGACGTGATTTCCACGAAACTCGTCGAGTTGGACAAGCAAAATCGCAAGTTTGCCGCCAAGTTTCACGAGAGTCTGCGGGAACCCGAGAAACTGCTGCACGTACGTCCCATGCGTGGCGATCATATCGTCACGACTGTTGTAGCTCATCACGGCGGAAATGGACGAGCTGGAAGATCGATTCACCAAGGTCAGTTCGTCCGCCGTTGTGATCGGGGACCGGCTTGCCATCATCGACAAAGAAAAGAACCGTGCGCGGGACACCGACGAGCTCCTCGAGGCCATCCTTCTTCTGAACACCCCGTCAACCGCACCAGTCAAGTCGACCAATAAGCTGTACAACACACTGAAAGACCCCCATCGAGTTCACGAAGTAAGGGCATCCTTTTCCTCCTGCATCTCATGACGTTGCCAAGGCCATCGTCATCGTCGGCAAACTACGCGACTTTGCAGACGAGCTCACGTCCCCCGCGACAAAGGTCGCTGTGCAAGAAATCCACCGACTCAACCAGGCGCTCGAGTCGTCATTGCTTCAAGGGTTTGACGATGCGCAGGACCAGGAGCTTCGCGGCGTCGCCAGCGCACACGACCTGGGCACTATGCGCGAGAACGCCACGTCGCTGGTGGCCCACGGGTGCAAGGACATTGTGGCCGACCGTTTTGTATGGAACGTCATGAAGGAAAAGCTCACCAAGTGCGACCGCCGCCGTTCGTTCTTGGGGCCATTGACGGGTGATGTGTGGTAGGCATGCCCAGTTTCTCCGGGCCGACTCGTCCCCAACCGAGCAGGACCACGCAGACGCGCCGACCTGCGACGAATGCCTCCAGGACCTCGACTCGTTGGTGGCCAAGATCCGCGCGATTTGCAAGAGTCAGTTTGTCGTGATTCAGTCGGTGTTTTCTGCCGCGATCGCTCCATCGATCCGAGAAATCCTCGTCGAACGGCTGTGCCACGACCCTGCGTTCGGGCTGCTCTCGCATCTTGAACGGCTCCTGGGTACGCATTGTGTCGTGTGCGTGAATGAATCGTGCGATGTCCAGGCCGCGATGGCATGGCGGACAAAGAGTACGTCGCGGCGCTGCGAGCTGCGTACGAAAAGTGCTGTGGACTGGTGCAGGCGATTGGGATGTTGCCGCTCGAGACGCCCGCCGAGACGGACAGAATGCAAACGTTCCTGACCGCTCAATTGCAAGTGCTCTTTGGCGGCCACCGCCAGCGGTACGTGCGTCGCCGACAAAATGGGCGGACACCATTCGTTGTAGATACGTTCAAATCGAGCAAGACTTGCTTCACCAGAGCTTGGACCAAACGCTCGGATTGATCAAGTGGCCTGCGATTCCATCGGGCAAGAACAAGTACAAGCTCAAGGATCAAGCCGCGAGAGAGTCGACGACGACGATCAAGGGCGGCGCGGCGCCACCGTCGACAAACCCGAGCGCCGCCCACACGCTGACGTCGCCCGGCTCGACCACCGCCATCACGTCCCCTCGCGAGATGACACCGGTGCATGCCAAACCCGAGCCGCCGAATCTGTTTTACCAAATGCTGCTTCCCATCTCCATGGACGACACCATACCTCGCAAGTTTGGGCAAGCGCTCAAGGTACATGTGGACGGACGATGGGGGGTCTCGACGAACGAGTGGCTAGGAATCGACGGCGCGTTGCGACGTGGTCCTGCGAAACAGCGAGCTCCGAGTCGAACTCATGGCGCGGCTGTACGCGTTGTACTGCCACGCATTTGGCGACGAATACCTCGGTGTACGTCGCCGTCCCGTGGCTCAGCAACGACAGAGCGTGTGCGTGGTAGAAAATCGCCAACTTGTCCCACGAACTCGTCCAAGAGCCACTGCTGTGTCTCGATTCCGCGAGCAACTTTTTCATCGTGCTCAAGGTCGGTGGATGGATCGTTCTTCGCCGGGCGTCGACCCGTCTGTGCGGTAGAGCTTGATCGGTCACGTCAGCCTCCTCGATTCGCAGTACAAGGCGGTCGTCGCGCCGTATTTGGCTCAAACTCCGACGCAGCACACGTACGTGGCATGTAGACATGTTTCCGAACCGATCGCCGGCAGGATATGCATGGAAGGCAAGCGAAAAACGATGGAAAAGCTCGAGGGGTTGATCGCGTACGGGCTGCAAAAGACCTTTCAAGCCGTCGAGAAGAGCCTCGTCGCGCTGTTCACGTACGTTGGCGATTGTGTAGTCGATGACGATCGCGGCGGCGTAGCAACGGGCTGGACAAAGGCGACTTTCTCGGAAACAAGCAGGTCCAAACCCAGTCGAGAGCATGCACGCAAGTCGTGCAGTACCTCGCGACTGTGTTTTCGCACGCGAGCGCGGCGCTGGTCGGTCCCATGCGCGATTCCCTCGTCACCGTCGTGGTGCGGCTAGGACGATGCCGGCGGCGCGGCGAATCGAACGCTGTTTGTGTCAAACTTGTCTGCGACGTTCAAGGACACGTACATTGCGCACCTGCAAAAGTTTAAATTTGATGCGGACGGCGCGTGCCTTCTCCTGACGTGCGTAGTGTGGCGGCGGCGGTGGAATCATCTTACGATCGCGTAGGGACCTTGCCATGTACCGCGCCGCGTTCCGCGTGTGCCGGCATCCCGCCATCGACGACAACTTTGACCTGCTCCATGCAGTCGCCAACATTTACGCGCTTCCGCGGGAGAGCCTCGTGGGCTACGTCAGCGAAGGGCTTCAACAAGCCCTCGGCAAGACCACCCTGCACGCGCTCATTCGGCGCCGATGGGACTACAACGTCAACGGCGACAAGATCCCGATTTAAGTCGCCACATCCCAGCGAGGAACGACGTGTGGCCATGAGAAGCAGCCCACGGACCCGTTCCTTCCACACGATAATCCATGCACTCGCCATCGTTGACCTCCGTTAAAATCTTCCATGACACTCGTCCGCGTGGCTTGCATGTGTGGCTCGAACATGGCTGTGTCGTTGAGCATCTTGCTTTGACAAGGTTGCACGACTGTGCATCCGTCGACACCGACGCTTCGCCATGGTGAGCAAGCGAGAGCCGACTATGCCCAGCAGCACGGCCTCACTCGCAGCATTCCATGAAGATTGCCCATGGTGTGTTTCACGTCGAGCATCTTGCTTTGGCAAGATTTCAGGGCCAGGCGCTGTACGACACAAGCGGGACAAAGGCAGTATTTACCCGCGAGTCGCGATGGAATCAACATGCTACTAGCACGAGGTCGAGAGCTCTATGGACGGGAAGCGCTATGCAGTCGGTGCCTTGCGCGGTGTAATGTCGAGCCATACGCCATGCTGTGGGTTTTGAACAAGGCCCGCGACAACGGCTTGCACAGGCGGGGC